CCGGTTTTATTAAATTCGAATTTTCGCAATCAACCGATTTTATTAAAACCGGTTTTCGAATCTGAAAAAGCTAGACCTGGTTTTATGTTGCAACCGGTTTAAACCGAATTTAAATCGATTTACGCCAAACCGGTTCCAACCTCTATCATAGATCTCTTAGTTCTTATTATTAAAGATATTGTTATAGATATTAATATTCATAATACAAAATTAATTTACATAAAATATAAACTTGAAAAGTTCAAAGATCTAGGACCTTACTTGAAGAGAGAAACTATTTTCTTAGAGGATGAGACTGAACTAACATTAGAATTACCTAATAAGTAAATTTATTATATGAGCAAAATTGTAATTTTAATAACAATTTAAAATTAACAATTTTTTTTAAAATAGAATTGATCCTGATGAAGAAATATCAATTAATTATTCAAAAGTGGTTATAAGAATTTCATTAGAAATATCACAAATCAAATAAAATGATTAAAAGTTAAAAGGTAATAAACATAATTATTATTTTTTTTTTTTTCCTTTTTTTTATCAAAGCTTTTAATTTTGTGATAGCATAAAATTAAAAAAAATATATAAGTAATAGAGTGTAACAGAAGAGTGATACAGTGCTATTATTTAAATGATGATTATTTTTTTAAATAAAAAGTTTTAAGTTTTTTCAAAGTCAAATAATATTTAGTGTAATTAAATAACATAGTTAGAATTTGCAAATGTTTATTGAATCTATGGCTTCTAATGATCAGGTTGATTAGAATTGTTAGAATTTTCAAAATGATAACTAAATACGTAGCTTTGATGATTGAATTAATGAGAATTTCAAAATGATTATTAGGTTATTGGGTTTGCTAAACAATAAAAAAAATATTTTTTTTAAAGATGAGATTCAGATGTTTAAACTTACGTCACATTGGCATTGAGTTCTCAAAACATCATTCAAGTTAGGATCACTAGTTAATATTATATTCTAAATAGTTAGTATTTATCTTGAAGATAATGATATAATAGCAGATACTTTTTAGCTTAATGATAAATTAATCATAATAGTTGGTTGGCTAAAATTATATAATCCTTTTTTAAAAAATTATTTATGTCTTTTATATTTTTCTGATTTTAATATTGCAAATCCTTATTTAATGCTTTTTATTTACTTGATGATAATTCTATACCACTATTTTTACCTAATAATATTATAGTACCAAATGTTAATTTTACGTTGAAATTCACAATAAAGATTATCATTATTCATATTTAATGGCAGAATTTATTAGAATGCCTGAAAATATATTATTACCTTTAGGTATAAATAATTCAAATCTAGAAGATCTGACTTATTTCTGAATTTTAATTTTAATACAGTAAATATTACACATAAAAAAACTTATTCTAAATATATTAAACAATGTATACTTAATATAGATTCTCAATTTAGACTTTATCATAAATGAATGGCATAATCATATTTACAATTGGAAAAGATTTAAATCATCAAAATAATCAACTAATTTTAAGACAAAATCAAGCTGATAAGGTTTATCAACTATTAACTGCAACACAAATTATTTAAAAATCAAGCTATATTAATAGACAAATAATAGATGAATCTAAAATAGTCATATTACTAACATTTATTTGTACTGGTGATACTTACTTTCATGAAAAATAACTTCATATAAATACAATTATTTCTTTATATAGTTTACTATCTTTATTACACTTATGATAGCAGAAAATCATTGGATACATTTATATAGAATTTTAAAAGCAATAGATAATCATAATACTATACTAACAACTAGACCTTTATATAATACATTATATTTTAATCATTATTTATAATAAAGATGCCTTCTTAAACTATTTTTAGAAAATTTGAGTTTCGAGATATTTGAGATAAAACTATTTGTTTATAATAAATAACTTTATCTAAACTTCTAATAGGTTTTTCTAAACTCAATAAAGTTTTATCAAGTCTTAGATTTAAAAAAAGTCATTTTAAAGGTTTTAAAATAGTTTCTAAATTTTTAAGCTACACATTAAAATAGGTTTCAAATAGTATCATTAGTTTACAATAACTTAAAAAATACCTTTGAAAAAAATCTGAGCATTTAAAATAGATGAAATTTAACATTTTTTTAAAAGAATAGTATATATTAGATTACAAAAATAATTAAACAAATATTGCTGAGAATCTTATAAAATCTGATTTACTAGATCCTATTCTGAATCAGATTTATATGCAAAAGTAATAGCAAATCAAATCTATACATGCAATTTAAAATTTGGAGGTCTAGCAATTATATGATAAGTTTGTAAAAAAAAATTTTCTTGTCTCTTTTTTTTAATACATACTATGATGATAATGTGTAATATTATATATATAAATATATAAAATCTAAGGATCAATAGATAGTTCCTTATCATTCTGAATCTTTAATAATTTGGAATACTTATATGAATATACAATATGTCAATTCTTATAAGTTAGCTTTTTATTTAATAAAATATTTAACTAAAGTGAAACCTTCCTTCTTATATTTTTTAATTTTAATATAAAAAAAGGTAATAAAGATTAGGTTCAATGGAATTAATGTTTCTTTATATTAGATAAAATTATTTGTAATTTATTTTATTCAGTTACATATTTTACTATAGATCCTTCTATAGATAAACAAAAAGTTATTCGTCCTATTTATTTGATCAATGAAGAAGAAGAAGATCTTTATTGGAAAATTATATTGAAAAAATATTTTGATCGATTTGATCATAAAGAATTTAACAATATAACTTATTTAGATTATTTTAAAATTATGAAGTAGATATGATTAATCCTTCAACAGAAAGGTAATATATTTACATTGATCGATTAGGTAATTATATAATAAAAAGAACTATTTTAAAATTGTTTAATTTTATTATTTAAAATTGCAAGATAAAAAATATATTTTTATTAAAAGTTTTTACTTAAAATTTCTTGTTAATATGAAGAAGAAATACTTGAAAACTTTCAAACTTATCGAGAACATTGGTTGCATTATCATTTAGAGTTATATGAAAAGATACAATAAGTAACTCAAGAATATTTATGATCTCAACAATTAAAATTAAATATTACATTTAATCAAGTATTAGAATATTAATTAATAATTTACAACCTATCCTTCCAATTTCTATATTAAAAATTGTTGATATTCAACTTAAATCTTTAAGAATTAACCTACTAATTTATACTCAATATAATGCATTAAATCTTCTAAAAGATCAGTTAAATACAGTTTCAATTATTTGAAATATTTTATGTTCAAAAACACAAAAAATAAATATCCTTATTTTTTTTATTAATGGTTCAACTAGAACAGAAAAATCATTTATAATTAATTTAATTATAAAAGATTTATGAAAAAAATCAAATTACTTATTATTGGTTCCAACTGAAGTAACAGCTCAGAATATTGAAAGAGAAACCATATATTCTGCATTAAGTATTCATGAAATTCCAATCCCTGGCTTTTTATGATATTGAATTTTTTAAAACTTTAAAAAAATCGATACTTTAATATTTGATAAAATTTCAATGGTTTTTGCAAAACTTTTTAGTTTCATTTCTGATATGTTTTTGATTATTTAACAATAAATAATAGCATTTAATGGAATAAATATAATTGTTGTAGGTGAATTAGTACAATTACTTCCAGTTTCTGAATTACTAATATAAAATGTTCAGAATAGAAATTATTTTATCCTTTATTTCTAAGACAACCAAAAGACAAATTCAAGATTTACAATACTATATTAAATGAAATATCTTTAACTACATGAAATCTTTTATATCAAAAAGTTAGAAGTTATAATCACTAATAACTATTTAATGTTATATTAATATAACAATATCATTAGATAAAAACAAACTGCTAATCAAATTAATCATCTTATTTGTAATATACTTCCAGTAAATAAAAACAAATTTTTGATTAACATAGACATTGATTTTATTAATATGCAACAATATAATCCTAATAATTCACAAAAATTATTTAAAAAAAGACTAATCTACCAAGTCATTTACATTTACAATAAGATGCATGTATAATATATCTTAAAAATGATTTAATTCAACAAAATATTAGTAATTTTATTATTGAATATTAACTTGAAAGCTTTAAAAATAAAAATAGGATTTAGTGTAATGGATGAAATTGTTGATATTGAATAAAGAAAAAAATAATATCATTTATGATTAATGAAAAACCATCAAGCAGATACCAATTTCCATTACAAAATGCTTTTGAACTTACAGTGTATAAAATGCATGAATAAACTTTACCAGAAGTATTTTATGTCTTAATAATTAAATATTATCTGCTAGACAAGCTTATGTAGTATTGAGTCGATATTCAAATTAGTCTAAAATGCATATTATTTTTTTTGTATACTTCAGCTTTCATTACAGACAATTTGATGATTAAAGAATATAAACGACTAGAATTAAAGATTACTATAGCTTTACTTTTATAATTATAAATATGCTAATTTTAAAAATTTTAATGTTTATTTAGGTTCAGTTTATTTAACCGATGATCAATTTACCAACAATCATTTCACCGACAAATGATTTACCAACGATCATTTTACCGACAGAATCGTTTCATCGACAGTATCATTTCGCTAAAAATCATTTTATCGACATTAAAAAAAAAAATATTTTTTATGTATAGTAAATATGCGTATTTAAATTTTCAACAAATTTGATTATTTGATATTTTTATTCATTACTATTTAATGTAAAATATTAAAGTATATAAAATGAATAAAAACTAACTTTGCTATAAACTATTTAAAATAAAAGATTATGAGCAATTTTTCGAAGAAATTCCATCAGTGATCAGTTTTCACGATCATTATACACTGTTTGAATTTGATTTTCATATTTACAGTCTTTTCTTCTTTGTTGAGGTCGTGATGCTCCTCGCAAAATTAATTCTATATTAAGTTGAACTTGATTTTGCTCATTTTGTATATCTTTAATAATTTTAAATACACCCACATATGCACGACCTACTAATGTCTCCCATCTTCTATACCAAGCTTTAACAGAATTTTGGATTCGAGGAAATGCATATTCAATATTATTTGTAACTGATCAAAGTGAAGGGGGAAATAATGATTCTGATCAAATAACATTTTCACTTCTTGTTGTACGTCTTATTCTACCACGAATATAATAAATTTCAAACCATTCCATGATATTATTTACTTCTGCTAGCATATTAGCTCTCAATTCATCAAAAGCTGTAGGAATTTCATCAGGAGGTAAAAAAGCTAAAGCAGGTATATGTCTAATTAAAAAACTAAAATTTTCATCAGTTCCATATTGAGTACTAAGGCTAAGAGCTTGTATTTTACGATAAATATTTTGAGATAAATGAAAATGACACCCTTTATTTTGAATTTCTTGGAATTTGTCACCAA